AATGAGCAGATGCAGAAAGGGGGTCTTCTGGATAAGCCGCAGGTGGTGAAGTCTTGGACAGGTGAAACATAATTATGATATAGAACGTTGTGTCACACGATATAATACTATTGTACTTTTCTCATATTCGAACATTATTTTACATTATAGAACATTATCTTCCATGAATATTATTTTACATTATAGACATTACATTGAACATTATTTTACATCATAGAACATTATTTTACATTATAGAACATTATTCTAATCAATACATTATACAACATTATAGAACATTATTTTTACATCATAGAACATTATTTACATATAGAACATTATTACATTATAGAATATTATTTTACATCATAGAACATTATTTTGCATTGAACATTATTTTACATCATAGACATTATTTTACATTATAGAACATTATCTTACATTATAGAATATTATTTTACATTATGGAACATTATTTTGCACTGAAGAACATTAGCATTATAGAACATTATTTTACATTATAGAACATTATTCTACATCATAGAATATTATTTTACATTATAGAACATTATTTTGCATTGAAGAACATTATTTTACATCATAGAACATTAGTTTACATTATAGAACATATTGCATTAGAACATTATTTTACATCATGAACATTATTCTACATATTCTATTTTACATCATAGAACATTATTTACATTTAGAACACTAATTTGCATTCTAGAACATTATTTTACATAAAACATTATAGAACATTATTCTACATCATAGAACATTATTTTACATTGAAGAACATTATTTTGCAACATTTGCATTCTAGAACATTATTTTACATCACAGAACATTAGTTTACATCATATCATTCTGAACATTATTTTACATTATAGAACATCATACAATATTACAGAACATGCCGTCATATCACTGAACATGATAACACATTAAAGAAAGCCATATCATGTTACGGAAAACTAATTGATATCAAGCATTACATTGAAGTTTTAAAGTGGTTAGCAACAATTTTTTTTCTGTCTTTATATCAATTTATCATTCATTTTCTCTCGATTATCAGTATTTCTTTCATTATCAACTTTCTGGGGAGGTCATGTTCTTGGCATCCATTAGTGTGTCAGTTGGTAAGCATGATTATACGAAATGTTACAAATTGATTGTGATAATATTTTATAGGTGATAAGATTTTGGTTATTCTGTGTGAACTCAGGATGAAATGAGAGGAGTCCCTGTCTGTGTGTGTATGTACATGTGTGTGTGTGTGTGTGTATATTGTATATCTGTCTATTTATGTATAGACACACACACGCACGCACGCACGCACACGCACACGCACGCACACACGCACACGCACAAGCACACGCACACGCACACACACACCACACGCACACACACACACCACACACACACACACACACACACACACACCACACCACAACACACACACACACACACACACACGCACACACACACACACACACACACACACACACACACACACACACACACACATATATATATATATATATATATATATATATATATATATATATATATATATATATATATATATATATATATATATATATATATATATATACAATACATACAATATATACAGTAAACAAATATAAACCTCTCTCTTCCCCTCCCACCCCCTTCCCGCCCCCTTCCCACCCCTTCCTTCCCTCTCTCCACTCTCAACCCACCATCTCCGCCACGCCCACCCCTACCCTCCCAAACCACACCATCCACCCACCCCTGACCTTCCTCCTCTCCCTCCTTCTCAAACCCACCATCTCTCACGCCCACCCCCCTTCCCCCACCCACCCAAGGCTACGACGGCGCCCTGAACATCGACGACATCACGGGCGGCTTCGTTCGCTACGCCGACCTCTCCCAGCCGGTCCACCTCGGCGAGAGATACGACTGGGTGATGAGCCTCGAGGTCGGCGAGCACATTCCCAAGAAGTATGAGGCGCATTACGTGGACAACCTGGTCAGGCACGCTTGTAAAGGTAATTATGAGGAGTATGAGGAGTATTGAGGCTAATTAATTATGAGGAGTATGAGGCTGATTACGTGGACAATCTGGTCAGGCACGCTTGTAAAGGTGAGTTGTGAGGTCGTTATGAGGAGTATGAGGTGCATTATGTGGATAATCTGGTAATTATGAGGCTGAGTTCTGAGGTAATTATGAGGAAATGAGGCGCATTACGTGGACAATTACGTGGACTGTCAGGCACGCGTGTAAAGGTAATTATGAGGAGTATGAGGCTAATTAATTATGAGGAAAATGAGGCTAATTAATTATGAGGAGTATGAGGCGCATTACGTGGACAATCTGGTCAGGCACGCGTGTAAAGGTGAGTTGTGAGGTCGTTATGAGGAGTATGAGGTGCATTATGTGGATAATCTGGTAATTATGAGGCTGAGTTCTGAGGTAATTATGAGGAAATGAGGCGCATTACGTGGACAATCTGGGTCAGGCACGCTGTAAAGGTGAGTTGTGAGAGGTAATTATGAGGGGTATGTTATATGAGGAAAATTGAGGCTAATTAATTATGAGGAATATGAGGCGCCATTACGTGGACAATTCTGGTTAGGCACGCGTGTAAAGGTAATTATGAGAGTATGAGGCTGATTTAATATGAGAAAATGAGGCTAATTAATTATGAGGAGTATGAGGCGCATACGTGGATAACCTGGTCAGCACGCTTGTAAAGGTGAGTGTGAGGTAATTATGAGGGATATGAGTATGAGGCTAATTAATTAATTAATTATGAGGAGTATGAGGATGCATATTATGTGGACAATCTGGTCAGGCACGCGTAGTAAAGGTGAGATTGTGAGGAGTATGAGCTAAGTTAATTATGAGGAAAAATGAGGCTAATTAATTCTGAGGAGTATGAGGCGCATTACGTGATAATCTGGTCAGGCACGCGTGTAAGGTGAGTTGTGAGGAGTATTGAGGCTGCATTAATTATGAGAAAATGAGGCTAATAATTATGAGGTGTGTGAGGCGCAATTGCGTGGACAAATCTGTCAGGCACGCTTGTAAAAGGTGAGTTGCGAGGTAATTATGAGGAGCAATGAGGCTAATTTATTATGAGGAAAATGAGGCTAATTAATTATGAGGAGTATGAGGCGCATTACGTGGACAATCTGGTCAGGCACGCGTGTAAAGGTAATTATGAGGAGTATGAGGCTAATTAATTATGAGGCTAATTAATTATGAGGATATTGAGGCTAATTAGTATGAGGCTAATTAATTATGAGGCTAATTAATTATGAGGAGTATGAGGCGCATTACGTGGACAATCTGGTCAGGCACGCTTGTAAAGGTGAGTTGTGAGGAGTATGAGGCTAATTAATTATGAGGAGTATGAGGCGCATTACGTGGACAATCTGGTCAGGCACGCGTGTAAAGGTAATTATGAGGAGTATGAGGCTAATTAATTATGAGGAAAATGAGGCTAATTAATTATGAGGAGTATGAGGCGCATTACGTGGACAATCTGGTCAGGCACGCGTGTAAAGGTAATTATGAGGAGTATGAGGCTAATTACGTGGATAATCTGGTCAGGCACGCGTGTAAAGTAATATGAGAGTATGAGGCTAATTATGTGGATAATCTGGTCAGGCTCGCTTGTAAAGGTGAGTTGTGAGGTCATTATGAGGAGTATGAGGCTAAGTACGTTGATGAGTAAGGTAGGCACGCGTGTAAAGGTAATTATGAGGAGTATGAGGCTGATTGCGTTGATGATTTGGTTAGGCTCGCGTGTAAAGGTGAGTTGTGAGGTAATTATGAGGAAAATGAGGCGCATTATGTGGATAATCTGGTAATTATGAGGCTAAGGTGAGTTGTGAGGTCATTGTGAGGAGTATGAGGCTAATTACGTTGATGATTTGCTTTAGGCACGCGTGTAAAGGTAATTATGAGGAGTATGAGGCTAATTGCGTTGATTATTTGGTCAGGCACGCTTGTAAAGGTGAGTTGTGAGGTAATTATGAGGAGTATGAGGCTATGTTGATGATTTGATGAGGAAAATGAGACTAGTTATGTTGATGATTTGCTTAAGGAAAATGAGGCTCATTGCGTGTAAAGATGAGTTGTGAAGTAGAGCAGTAATTATGAGGAATATGAGGGCAATTATATATGGTAAGTTGGGTAGGCATCCATGTAAAGGTGAGCAGTGAGGTAATTATGAGGAAAATGAGGCTATTTACGTGGATATTTTGGGTCAGGTCTACGTGTAGAAGTGAGTTTTAAGGTACTTAAGGAAAATGAGGCTAACTATGCTGATGAGTTGGTAGACATGCATGTAAAAAGGTAAGTATGAGGAAAATGAGGCTAGTTATGTGGAGAATATGTGTAGGCAAGCATGTAAAGGTGAGTTGTGAGGTAATTATGAGGAGTATGAGGCTATGTTGATGATTTGATGAGGAAAATGAGGCTAGTTACGTTGATGATTTGGTTAGGCACGTGTGTAAAGGTGAGTTGTGAGGTAATTATGAGGAAAATGAGACTCATTATGTGGATAATCTGGTCAGACACGAGTGTAAAGGTGAATTGTGAGGTAATCATGAGGAAATGAGGCTATTTGCGTTGATGAGTTGGGTAGGCATGCGTGTAAAAATGAGTAAATATGAGGAGTAAACATGAGTAAAAATGAGTAAACATGAGTATGAGGCTATTTATGTTAATGAGTTAGGCATGCGTATGAATGTGGGTTGTGAGGTTAAGTGAGTGTCAAAATAATGAATATTAAAAGTATAAATAAATGTAAAGAGAGTGGTAAATGAGAGAGTAACTGAATATATATGAATATAAAATGAGTAATAAATGAGAGAGGAACTGATTACATATGAATATAAAGTGAGTTAAAAATAGTAATGTGTTTTTAGCATGCATGTGGAGTTATAAATGTATTATTGCTATTATTATTGTTATAATAATAATAATAATAATAATTATTATTATTATCATTATCATTATTATT